TTTTTTTTTTATTGGGGAAAGGTCTTTTCTGTTTAAAAGTATGTTTTAGGGCTTAGCCGAACCCTAGTAATTCTTACCTGAAAATTCTTTTCTGCAATACAAGAACACTATACGATTGACAATTTTTTAAAGAGTTTGTCACTTATGGCTATATTAATGGAATGCTTCTTGTTTGAAAACTTGATTGAGATCTTGCTCTGTATACCTCTCTTCATTTATTTAATACCTTCTGTAGTGGCATAAATCATGTTGTTTATACCAGAAACTGACAAGATTTTATCAGACACAGTTTATCTTAGAAAGATTAAAGTTAAAAATGATGCACCTTTGGTGTGCACGTCTCCCTTTAGCTTCTATGAGACCATAAAGTAGTCTTTGTGTTTATCAATTAACTATGGGTCTTGAAACTTAATGTCTGTTGTGTTTCCTTTTATTTTAGGATCAACTTCTATATAATCCATTCTTTAAAATGTGCCTTTCAGCAAATGGAGAGCATCCAAGCTTAGTGTCATGCAATCCATCAGATCCACTCCAAAAATGGATTTTTAGCCAAAATGATTAAGTGTTCCTTAAAATTAAGGAGTTGGAAAAGGAGATTGTTTTTCTCATAAAACTGTGACTAGGCATACACTGTAGTTTTTGAAAATTATGCAAAAGCAGCTAATTGTAACTTATTCCAAGTGCATTTTTCTTATTTATATCTTACAATGTCTATGTAGCGCTGCTACAGAAATCCCTTGTTCCCATTTCAAAGCACAATAACTAATAATACCAAAGACCATTTTGAAATGTCCAGATGTAGGGGAAGAGATGTTTACAGTATGATGAAAATAATTTTCCAAGTAAAGTGATGTTTGTGTGTTTTGTACACTTGAGGATATGCATAGTTACATGCATATGCTCACGACTTAAAATATTTCTTCTAGTTTTTTGGGGGGAGGGAGAAAGATTTGATATTGTATTTTTTTAACTGCATAGAAATGGATCAATGAGGGTCAAACATTGGCCTTTGTGTACAAACCAGGAAATTTTTATAGATCTAGAATTTATTATATGAAAATGCAGGTAAACTCTTTTTACCTTTTGTTTACTTATCTGTCAAATGTTTCCTTAAACATGAAATGAAATTAATAAGCAGAAGACTATTTTTAACATTTCAATTTCTTGGCAAATTTTAAAATATTTTTTAGTCTGAAGCCCACTTGACTTGAAGCACTTAAGTCTTTCTTAAAAGACTTTTCTTAAGTAACTATACTGTGTGTTTTCCCAAAGCAATTAAAAAAAACATTACAAATTACTATCTGTTGAAAAGGTGTCTTTTTTCCTTTCTGCCAATTTTTTTTCTTACCAAAATTCACTAATCTTGAATGTTTGTGAAATTGAATTTTAAATGCAGAATACTTGACTCATTTAAAGCTAAATTTTATTTGCTACTGATTCAATTTGTTACTGTTCAATTAATAGATTGTCTTTGTAATGAATTTTTTTCACCAAAAATCATTATTTCTCTCTATGTGGAAAACACAATAAAACAAATCCTTATCACTATTGTAATTATTTGGTTTAAGTATTTTTTTTTCTTTTGGATAAAATACCTAATTGATAATAGATCGGGGAAGCATGAATTTTGTACTGAATTTCTAAGCACTGATTGTATAGTCGTCAGATATTTCTTAAGGAAAACTCACACATTTCATACTCATGGCTTAAAAAAAAACAGAGAATGCAGAAGAGTCTGTGTTAGATATTTAGAAAACTTTGTATTAACTTTTGATAACTTTCCTTGAGCATCTGATAGAGTAATATTTTTTCTAAAAAAGTGATACTCAGGAGATTTAACACTATTTTCTTTCTGGTCATTTTATACAGAGAACTCTTGTATTCTTATTTAAGAAGAAAAGCATGATTGGCTTCATATTTTAAACCTGGCAGAGTTTTACAAAAGAAAATATTTTTAAATTATTGGTCCCATCTTCTCATTATTTGTAACATCAAAATTGAATTTTTAAAAACTCCTGCATTGTTTATTTTATTACAATGCTGACTTTCATTTCAATTCAAGCACCATTTATTGTGTGTCTAGCTTTGTGACAGAAGCTAAGGTAGGCAGAGTAACACGTTGTTTTTGACTTAGGTCTTACAGAGCAGGAAGAAAGACAATGTTGAAATAGCATAATGAGTGACATTATGATATGTTTTGTGATGCAGATGACAGCCCACTAGGCATATTTGATATTTCTTTAATGAGTCAAGATATTTTTTATTACTGTAGTGAATACTAATATGTATTGTGAAATATACACTAGTGCTGACTTACATGTACAATTTCCGCTTCTCAATTTCTTATTCTAGAGCGAATATTGCTCTTAGAATTTGTTATATCTCACAATACAAAAATAAATAAATACAACAAAACAATCCTCAAAGATATTTTATAAATGAACTTAAGTAAAACATATTTAAGAAAACAATCTGAGTGGCCTCTGTGTATTAGTCATGTGTTGTCGTGTCAAGAGCCAACCAAAATCTGTTTAGATTAATTAGGTTGATTTTTATTATGGCTGTGTTACATGCATTAAAAAGAGAGTTCTTTCTACCTGATTTGGGAGCCTCAGGCTGTTGCTCAAGTGTCATATAACTCATTTCATTAAGGATTTGTCCTTTGGGGTGGGCGTAGTGTCTTTTAAAAATCTGAATTTTTGAAACAGTGCTAACAGGGAGTTATTCATGAAGCCTCGTTTATGTGCACCTGAGATATTTGAATGTACCCAAGTGTGAAATTGTGGGACTCTTGCTCAGTTTGAAGCTACCATGGCAAATGCTGCGGAAAACCTGGCACATTGCCTTTCTTCCAGAGGACCAAGTCCCAAGAACTTGGTAAGCTACACTGCCCAGCCGGCTCGGGTCTACCCGATGGGTGAGTACACTGAGAACCAGGATGTGATCAAACAATTAACATGGGAGAAAATAAGCAGTGCACTAACATTGCCTATTACTACCACCAACGATGATGAACTTGGAAGTCGCTATATTACCAGAGAATTGGCCTTACTGTTGCTGGACGGTTTAATTAAATGCTATGTAAACCATAAAAATATAAGAGCAAAAGGGTCCAGAGAGCTGCTCTTTCTAAGAAAACAAGATTGAATGCTTAGGGAAAACTAGAACAGAGCCAAGTGATTTTTTAAAATGTTGCTAGGTGTTATGTGAATGAGAATTGTAAAAAATAGGGAAAACAAAAATCTAGGGAGATTCTGTGCTCAAATTGCTTCACAATACACTTTAAAGAAAACAAGATAAAGTATCTTTACATGATGCATTTTTAGTGTGGTTTGTACAGGAAAGATGTTGCATAATTCTCATAAACCAATTCAGACTCACATAAAGGGCCTTGACCTTACAACAGAATATTTGTGAAGGATTTAATATACATGCAAATGTAGGAGAGAGAGAGAGAGAGAGAGAGAGAGAGAGAGAGAGAGAGAGACAGAGAGAGAGAGACAGAGAGAGAGAGACAGAGAGAGACAGAGAGTTTTAAGTTAAAAATAGCTGATATATATCTTCGTTTTTGTAGCTTTCTATTTTAAATACCTTTTTCAAATTATCATTCAACTATCAGCCCAATTGCATTGGAGCAGAGTGTTCTCCTCTACACATATTCACTCTTGCTCTCTAATCATCAACAACCCTAGTCTTCAACAATATTTAGGAAATAGTGTTTAGTTTTTGTGATTGTAGTAGACATCAGAAACTAATGATATACAAAATGGCCCCATCTTCAACAAGTTTAAAGTCTAATAATATGGTCATCAATTAATTATTATAATTATGCTATTTTGGAGTCTAGGATGGAGTCAGCACCTTCAGCCTCTGGTGGGTGAGTCCATTGCCAGGAACTAGAGGAGAAAACAGATGCCCCATATTCTAGACGTAAATAACTTTAGTAATGCTTCTCAAACTTTATTGTGAACACCAGGGGATCTTATTAAAATGCAGATTCTGATTCATCAAGTCTGGAGTGGAATGTATGATTCTGTATTTCTAGCAAGTTCTTAGATGATGCCAAAGCTGCTGGTCCTAGAACCACACTTCAAGTAGAAAGACTCCCGATTGAACCAATGCCTGGCATTCTTTAAGACCACCATGACAATTTCCATCAAACCTTACACCCCTGATTACTTCAGACACCACCGCAAGTCAATACTCCCTATTATCCATTATTGCCATTCCGGTTCCCTGGAAACTCCTACATCCTTTGTATATCTCTAACTTGATCAGTTCCTCTAATCCACCCCAAATCACCTTGTACTCTGCTAGCTTTTACCTCTGTTCTTTGATCAGAAAACTTCCTTATACCAACAACCTGGTCTCATCATCTTGCCTCAACTGAAAGTGGATATCTGGGCCGGCCAAGTGGCGCGATGGTTAAGAACTGGCTTGGGATGCCAGAGGGCCCCGGTTCGGATCCCACATATGAGGGCCAGTGACACTGCCCTCCACAGCTAAGATGCTGAACAACAGCTCAACCTGGAGCTGGGCTGCAGTGAGTGGCCTGCGACAGCGTAGGCTGCAGCCCCTGTGGCAGTGGGTTGCCATGGGCTACCGTGTGTAGCCAGCAGCCAGCGTGAGCGGCCAGCAGCCGCAGTGAGCGGCCATCCAGAAGCCGGCGACTGATGTGCCTCGTCAGGGAAGAGCACAATGATGGTGCCAACTTGGGCCAGTGAAGCAACGTCCTCCACAACTAGACTGAAGAACAAAATGACAGCAACTTGTCTGTTCCCCTTCCCCCAATTCCCCAGCGCTGTTCCCATCCCCCCACTCCCCAAATAAAAAAAAAAAAAGAAAGTGGACATCTAAGGATACCCCATGCTATATGGATATATTATCCTCCACCCCTTCTTGCTGCTATCAGCTATGAATCTGGAAGTCACTTTTCTCAATTCCCTTCATTCCTTGACTACTTTAGTTCTTGTTTGACTTTTTTTCTTCATACCCCTGCATCTTCATGTGTGACTTTACTATCCATGCAGATGACACCAGCCTCCTGGGCTCATTACTTGACCACTACATTTCCTTCCCTCTGCCACATACTCCCTTGTCATCACTAGTAACCATTCCTTCTCTGACAGCTTGATCACTCATAAACTGTCTGACTATCATCTTCTGTCCTTCTAGCTCATTTCTATTAGTTCTTTACCTCTTTGAGACATCCAGACCACTGATCTTGTTACTTATTCATTATCATTCTCCTCTAGTCTACACTTGTCTCTTGACCCAGAATGGTTTTAATATTTCATCACTGTATTTATTTCTATCACTGTCAATTCACCTTCCTGAATTTTCTCCTTCATATGTGGGATCTGAACCAGGGTCCTCTGGCGTCCCAAGCCAGTTCTTAACCATCGCGCCACTCGGCCGGCCCAGAAATCATTTTTATTAGTATTTTTGAGGTGTTGTGCCATTTTCTTCTAAATTCTAGTATTGAAAATTCCAATGCACTTTTTATTCTTGATCCTTTGTTAGTAACCTTATTTTTATTTTTTATCTCTCAAAACATAAATCTCCTCTTTGTCCCAGTGTTCTGAAACTTTGCAGTGAATATTACTATGTATTTTGCTGTGCTTTTTAAATACTACTGCCTTTCAATTCTGAGAAATTTTCCAAGTATTTCTTAATTTTATTTCTTTCTTTATTCTCAGTTTCTTCTGAGAATTCTTATTATAGCAGACTCCTAATATATTGACACTCTAATATATTTGGAAGGGTACTTTTCTCACCTATATTCTACCTCTTGTTTTCAATACAAAACTCCTGTCCTCCACTGTGCTTGGTGTTCCCTGTTCTAGAGACCCTCTCTGTTTTACCCTCTCCAGTGAGAGAGTCTCTAGGCATCTGCTTGGGTGTGGAAGAGGATCTAGGGGCCTGAAGGGTAAATATACTTTTAGCCAGTCCTCCTCTCCCAACTCCATTTTGTCCCTTAATTCTAGAGTCACCTAATACCACCAGCTCTTGACCCTTCCAGTGGTTGTGCAGTTCAAAATGGATCACCGCTCTGCTTCCTTCACTGTTGATTTCATTTTATTTTATTTATTTTGTATTATTAGTTTCAGGTGTGCAAAACAATGTAATAGTTAGACATTCACCCTTCACAAAGTGATAACTCCCTCCCCCAATTTATTGCCCCTCTGACATTGTATATAGCTGTTACAATTCCATTGACTCTATTCCCTATGCTATACTCCATATCCCGTAAATATATATATATATGTATATATATATATGAAATTATTCACTGATGATTTTAGATTAACCTTCCTCCATTCTGAATACTCGTTACTAATTGATTTACTTTCAATATTCCAAAATTTTGTCCTCTAATCTCTCCTATTCCTTCTCCCTATGGACTTAGGAATTTCCCTCTGTATTTTTACTGTCAGTTTCATGGGATTTGGGAAGGAACCAGAAGGAAATGAGGGTCAAATATTCTTAACGGGAAACTTCCATTCATTCTTCAGTGGCCTCTAATCTGTCTTCTGTCATTAACAACTTCCAAGTTGCCAAATCCATATCCCTTTTTCTGTCCTCATATGTCTAACTAAGCTTTGCAACATTTGAAATGATTGACTACAACCTCATTTAAAATTTTTTTAAACTCTCTTCTCTCTGGGCTTCTATGACATTACAAATTTCTATCTCTAGCCCCATTGCTCTTCTCCAAGCCATTGTATCTCACACGGTCTAAGATGATCTCTTAATTTCCCTGCTATTTTGTCATTTCTTTAGCTGATTTTTTTTTCACTGCAACTAAAGTTGTAATATATTTACATTTTTAAAAAAGCTCATTGATCCCTTGGTTTTGTGATCTTCCAAGGCTGCTAGTTATTTTTAGAATAAATTTCATGCTCCTGACTACAGTTGACAAGACCTTAGGTGATTCAGTCTTTGTCTATTTCTCCTGCCTCATCTATTACGTTGGTGCAAAACATAATTGCGGTTTTTGCATTGTTGAAATTTGCCTTTGATATTGGAATACATTCTTAAATAAATGTGGTTATGTTATACATCATTTTAATACATTTTATGTTTTATGTATTTTTGCTAATGACTTATTACTTGCTGTTTATTTTATATGTATTTTAGACTATAGAAATGATTTTTAGACAGAAAGCAAATTCAAGCGATTTTCTTATTCGAGTTCAAAATGGGTCGTAAAGCGGAAAGACAACTCGCAATATCAACAACGCACTTATCAACAACGCACTTGGCCCACAAACTGCTAACAAATGTCCAGTGCAGTGGTGGTTCAAGAAGTTTTGCAAAGGAGACGAGAGCCTTGAAGATGAGGATGTAGTGGCCGGCCATCAGAAGTTGATGACGACCATTTGAAAACAATCATGGAAGCTGATCCTCTTACAACCACATGAAAAGTTGCTGAAGAACTCAATGCCATTCTACAGTAGTTTGGCATTTGAAGCAAATTGGAAAGGTGAAAAAACTCAATAAGTGGGTGCCTCATGAGCTGACCTCAAATTTAAAAAAATCGCCGTTTTGAAGTGTTGTCTTCTCTTATTCTACACAACAATGGACCATTTCTTGATCGGATTGTGACGCACGACAAAAAGTGGATTTTATACCACGACTGGTGATGACCAGCTCAGTGGTTGGACCTAGAAGAAGCTCCGAAGCACTTCCCAAAGCCAAACTTGCACCGAAAAATGGTTGTGGTCACTATTTTGTGGTCTGCTGAGGGTCTGATCCACTACAGCTTTCTGAATCCCGGTGAAACCATTACATCTGAGAAGTATATGCTCAGCAAATCGATGAGATGCACCAAAAGCTGCAATGCCTGCAGCTGGCATTGGTCAACAGAAAAGGCCCAATTCTCCATGACAATGCCAACCGACCACACGTCGCACAACCAATGCTTCAAAAGTTCAACGAATTGGGCTATGAAGTTTTGCCTCATCCACCATATTAACTTGCCCTCTTGCCAACCAACCACCATTTCTTCAAGCATCTCTACAACTTTTTGCAGGGAAAACCCTTCTACAACAAGCAGGATGCAGAAAATGCTTTCCAAGAGTTTGTCAAATCCCAAAGGACGGATTTTTATGCTACAGGAATAAAGGAACTTTTTTCTCATTGGC